TAGTACTAGTCGTAGTAGTACTAGTAGTAGTAGTAGTAGTCGTAGTAGTGGTAGTAGTAGTAGTAGTAGTAGCACTGCTACTACATACTACAATATCATAGCCTGCGAGAGTAGAATAAGTAGAATACTGCCGAGACTTCCGCGTCGGCTCCAGGCCAGCCGCTCCGGAGCAGGGCCCGGACTTCATGACGGCTGCCTGGGGGCACTCGAAGGTTTAAGATTCAGGAGTTAGCAAGTTTAGGACTAATAAGGGTTTAGGACCTGAGTTTAGGATTGCTGGGAAGTCCCTGCCCTCGAGCGTCTTGCCGGCATACAATCCAAGCCCGTGCTCAAAAAAGGGAATTTAGGGTCTGGGATTCAGGATTTTGGGCATGTGTGGCATGCCCCTAGAAACTGCGAATGCAGAATCTTCTGCAATCCTCACGGCCCTGAATTCCGGCGACATAAGATGGATGCGAAGCATGGGGACGAGCATGCAGGTTCGCCGAAGTGTTTTCTGGTTGCGAGAGTCCAAGATGACCTGGGACATCTAAGGCTTTCAGATTTGCCACTACGCTGGACCCGCTCTTCGGCTTGTGGCACGTGTGAGTGGTTCTAGCGCAGCTTTCAGAACTCTTTCGACAAGCATGCAACGTCGCAGATCAGCTTTGGGCGAGAGTGAGAGGACATGATACACGGAGATGAGATGCCCAGAATTTCGCGCTGGCTTCTTCGTCTCAGCAAAAAAAATGTACCAACACTTCCAAGGTGTCCTACTCCACGAAAGGCTGGATCGACAAGAACAATGACTCCCTCGTTCCAGAGATCGAGTCCTTGCTTGCCGACGGCAGCAAGGAGCTCGTCACAAGCATGGCCGACACAAGCCGGCTCTCGGCCGCCTACACTGGCGAGCGCCTGTGCTCCGTCAGCAGCACCTACTTGAGCAACCTCAACGACTCTCGGACCGAACTTGAGACAGTCTAAGTTTGGGTTTAGGGATTGGGCCCTGAACCGCTAAACCCTAAACCCTGGGGACGGCCCCAGACCTTGGCTCCAAAAGTTTAGGCCTCTTTTACTGTCGTAGTTGCGGAATGGAAGCTTCCGGCCTCGATTCCGCAGCTGGAGCACAAGGACTTGCTCGCCACTCTCAAGATGTGCTCCGTGCACTACATCCGCTGCTTCAACCCCAACCAGGTCGGCCGCTACTATCGAAGTACTAAATATTGTTGCTGTTATTATTGTTATCATTAATCTTGCTATTATTGTCATGATTATGACTATTACGATTGTCTGTTGTGCTGCTATTCTTATTCTTCTTACTTTTAGTAGATCCCTCCTTCTCTTGTCTCAGGATCGACTGCTTAAGTTTGCATGCCTTCCCTCAGGAGCGAAAGCCGGGGCTCTTCAACCGGAAGTATGTCCTGGACCAGGCCAAGAGGGCTTCAGGGTTTAGGAGCCAGAATTCGAAGATGCGTTGGGGTGCCCGGGCATCCTGATGCACTGTCGGACTGTGCATCTTACAGTTTTCTAGTACCGTCTGCAGCTTACGAGACCAGAAGAGATGGAGACAATAGAGGTAATGGAAGAAGCAGGATTCGAAAAACCTTGTCAGAAAATGAGGGTCGCCCGATTCTGAAGCTAGATCTTCAGTGGCGCCCCGGGTGCATGGACTAGGTGATTCAGTGCGGCACTGTCGAGCTGGTGCGAATCATGCACTACGGCTATCCCCACCGCTGCATCCTCCGGGAGCCTCGGCGCGGCATTCAAGTTTCGGGTCGATCCCCTGAACCCAAACCTGCCTTTAGGGTTTAGGGTTGAGGGTTTTGGGGTTTAGGGTTTAGGGTTTTTAGGGAGTTTAGGGGTTTAGGGCCAAACCCTAAATCCAAAAGCCCTACTTGCAAAGCCCTAAGCCCTGGTCTGAGGACTTGCGGGCACGTTTCGAGAAGCTCTTGCCGCCTGAGTTTGCGCACTACTCGGACAGCTCGGCTTGCGTCTTCATGTTTGATAGCCCAGGTATGACATATATATATATATACATACATACATACATACATACATACATATATATATATGTATATATATCTATTGTTTTTTACATACACACATATATATATACATACACATATGATGGGCTCTGTCAGACCAGAGAGGCAGTGCACTGCACGTTTGCACCAGCATGAGGTGGTGGGGTGTGGCAGTCGAAGCATCCTGGAAAGTGCCATCTTTCTACCGTGCCGGAAGGGGGTCGGTGATCGAAGTCGCAGACGCACCTGCCAAAGCTTCATCCGGGGGGCTGCTTCGATGGGGATACACAGTCGGACGATGTTATATTACCATGCGAGTTTCGAGATTGCTGACCATGTGCTCCGATGCGACAGCACACAATATCCAGGCGCTGCGCGGTTCGCGGTTGGTTCAAAGGTGGCTGTTGCCGCTGCCCGGTACCCGTTGAATTGAGTTTTCAGTGAACCCAGGATCGCTTCAAAAGCCCCACTTAAAGTATCCGGTAAGATGCAGGACGAGCCAGCCTTTGACGCAAAAAAAAGCTTGCAGGACCGAAACTTCATGCATGCAGTGATGCTTGCCTGGGACATTGATGAGAGCCAGCTCCTTGCATGCAGACCGTGCCCCTTTCCTGGCGGAGCTCGGAGACCCGAAGCTCCTTATGGCGACTACCTGGTAGACTACCTTAGGATTCAAAAAAAAACAACAAAAAGGAACTACTTAGGAGCCTATGGGTAAAGCTGTCAAGAGTCTGTGTTCTTCGTGGCGAGGTGGACCCTGGGGACGACACGCCTCTTTCTCAAGGCCAGCTGCAACTCCTCCATCTGCATACTTAGCCTGGATAAAAACTAGAGAGTCCCAAGTCTCAAATTCGAGAAGTTTGTGGGTCCAGTTCCGGCATCATGCATGCCATGGAATCAGTCGGGCTTGGCAGATTCAGGCTGTAAGAGGAAGACCTCCGGAGAGAGGCACCATAAAGCCTGCCAGCAGAAGCCCCAAAAATCCCATCACCACTTCATACCACGTCCGATGACACGGGACCGGGCCAGTGCCCGAACCGCTTCAAACTGTAATTTGTCCCAGGCCGGCCAGCTGCGAGCCCTCGAGGACCTGCGCGACACCGGTGGTCGCTTAGTCCACATACCCTAGGGCTCCAAGTATACAAATAGTACCTACTTTGGGGTCTAAAGTCTGTAAATAGTACCTACTTTGGGCTATTTGGAGGTTCAGGGATAGAGGCTGCAGGTGCGCCAACGTTGGACCCGGTTCATCGGTCCATGTCACCAAATATGAAGTGAGGTAAGCTTCGGGATCGAAAAGATGAGGGCGGCAGTGTTATTCAAAGTTCTGGTTTCTGCAACCCTAAGTGCAGCCATGGCACTTACTAGAGACTTCAAGAAGACAAGACCTTGCGAAAGAATGACTACACAGCCACTAGAATCACTAGAATAGAATAGACTAGGTGCATCGATAATGAGATAGATACAGGTACAGATAGAGATAGATGATGGATAGATAGAGAATTACATAGATGAAGCTTAAATGAGTGGGAACCCTTGTTCTAACTGAGGTCAGGCCTCGCAAGCGGTGATCCGGCGCATCCGCAAGCACCCTAGGCCGCATCAAAAGAGAGCGCTTTCTTCGGGCTCTTTGGGAGAACCGAAGAGGGTTTAAGGCGGTTTAGGGTTTCAGGGTTTCGGGTTTAGGTCTTAAGGGTTTAACGGCTTGGGGTTCAGGGTTATGGCGGGCATGTGCAAGTCTGTGCAAAAAAAGGTTATGTAGAAGCTATAGCTCCGAAACTGCAGCATCAGCTTTTGTGCAGCTTTGCGGCCAGCGCAAGTTCGAGTCTTATGTGGGGGTCTGCACTTGGCGTTGGCACAGGTTAGATGCTGAAGCGCTCTCTATTCTACGAGCACGAAGGCTATATTCCTTTGGTCCATATGGCATATGTCACCTTTTACCGGGTTCCTGGTGTCGGAGATCCTAGGAATAGACCAGACCAGATCATGGGTTCCAGATTGAACAGCAGAGGCAATTCTCGCTGAAGAAGGCCCGTGCCTATGCGCACGCGGTGGAGTTCAGCACCTACCTCTACAAGGCAGGCTTGAGATCAGATCGTTTGCTTCGCCTCCTATCACAACCAAGCCACAGCAAGATGGGTTTGAGTGTAGTAGTGTAGCGGGCAGTAGAGGCAGGAGTTGCATCATTTGTGTCGGGATTGTGCGTCCCTGGAGAACGACAGCCCACAAGGTGATGAAGGTGGGGAAGCGCGAGAAGAACCTGGCGAACTTGCGCAAGGCCAATGACAGGGTCCCGGCTCGAGGTTTTGCAGAGCTTTTGGGCTAGGTTCATATGCGGAGCCTCATCAGCAGGGTGCTCTTATGACATCTATTTCGTCTTAAACTCCATGTGAAAACTGAAAAAGCTAGGGGAGTAATTAGAGGCAGCGTCAGGCATCTGAAGTCACATTGAACCCGGAATCTGACAGAGCATCGTTGATTTCAAGCGACTCGGGGGCTTTGAGTTGCGAGCCTCAAACTTGGGCGACTAGGGTTTAGGGTTTTAGGGTTTTTTTAGGGTTTAGGGGACGTGAGGCGTCATGTGATGGCTGCGATGAAGCGCTCGTAAACTTATTTTTGCTGGCTTGCATTGCCCACTAGCATGTAGAAGTGCCCTGCGCCAGTTTGGCAGCACTGCAGTCCATGATGTTCATTGGTTCCCAAGCCGTACCTCTCAATGACCCTAAACCCTAAACCCCTAAACCCTAAATCCTAAACCCTAAACCCTAAATGTCTCTGAGACTCAGAGCGGGAAGCGAGAGCTCCTCCGAGCAGAAGCTGAGAGGCCATCCGCATAATGGTGCAGCTCAACCGCTGGAAGAATCGCGCCCTTCGAAAGGCGGGTCGGCTGCAATCAGAATGCATCTAAGGGCAAGTAAGGGGCTGGGTGGCTGGGTGGTGCCTTACGAAGGATGCAGGCAGAGTTTTCAAGCATGACACTGCCAAAAAAACAAAAAATAAATAAATATATATATATATATATGTATACCGGGGGCAGGTATGGACCAAGGTTGATTTCGAACCCCCGTGTCAGAATACAATATGATAAGACAGAACAGAACATAGTAATTATAGTATTGTAGAATATAATTCATTTAATGTATACACATTTGGGAAGCTCGTCAGTCGGCAGCTGCCCCAGGATGTGGACGAGAACGATTCCCTGTTCAGCCGTCCTTTGGGCATCCCTTTCGAGAACCTCTTCCTGCAACTAGTGGCACGGTTGATGATATAAGTCCTGCATTACCCGTAATAAGGAATAGACCATAATGCCCATAGTTTAGGGTCCTTAAAGTAAATGTTAATTACCTTAAGGGCCCTAAACTATGGGATTTATGGTACACTTCCTTATTATGGGGAATGCAGGATTTATATTGCCAGCCGTATGTGGGGGGATCTTCAGAGGCAGATGGTAAAATAGCGAGTTTAGGGGTTATAGGGTTTAGGGGTTTATAGGTTTATAGGGGTTTAGGGGTTGGGGGTTTAGGGGTTTAGGAGTTTAGGGGTTCAGGGTTTAAGGTTTAGGGTCAGCTTATTTGACCCCCGCGGATTGGTGGTGCGGCTCATGCTGGGAAGGTGTCGGTGCAGTACTCCGTCTAGAGCTTTCTGCCCTGCGTCTTCAGGTTCGAGCATCAGAGCCCGGAGGTGTTTTTCTATTCTGGAGTATGATGTAAAACCCTAAACCCTTAACCCTTAAAACCTAAACCCCTAAACCCTGAACCAAGCACCCTACTTGCCTGTGGTCTTAGCATAACACGTCGATGTCATGAGATCCAGTCGAGAGAAGATGGGAGACTTCTGGTGACTTCTGCACACTGAGAGCCAAGGACACTGGCATTGGAAGTCTGCAACAGGCTGGGCACTGGTAGACTTACTCAATCTTACTCTTACCTTACTTCGGGGCGCAGGCTCAGTGACTTCTGGGGGCTTTGATGAGGGCTTGTTGTTGAAGATTCGGGCTCTAGAGTGTCCAGGAAATCCACATCTTTTTGTAATAGCGCTGCAGCCCTCTTTGGCAAGCCCTCCGGACTGAATACTCGACCGTCTCTGAACCCAACTTGTCACAACCGAGAGCCTGGCTCGCAAAGAAAGTACCCAGAGAGCCCAATACCCCTTAATTAAGGAATATACCTTAGACCATAATTTTAATATTAAGGCCCCTACAATGTAAGGTATATTCCTTATTTAAG